GGTGCAAGTTTTGATGGCTATGCGTTATGTCATCTATAATGCAAAAAGTCTTAAGGGCAGCCTCTAATAACACAGTGTCTTTTTCTGCTCGATCTATGATAGAGTATGCTTCCACCAGAGAATATATCTCCTGACTGCTTGCTTGAGGGCGAGTACATGCTGGATGGGATGTTTGTTCTCTTCACCTGTTCTTTGTCTTGGCATAGACTTCCTTCCCTCGTTGCTCCCCTGTTCCTTTATGATAATTCACTTTCCTCCATACACATCAAGGTTTGGTCTCTCTCTACTATTTATATCACTGTAGCTCTTTCTCATTCCTCTGCCTCTCTTTGTACCCTTCTTTTTTCTCTCTCTATCTCCTTTCTCTGTGTCAGTGCTCTGTCTCCTGTGGTGGAGGAGTGCAGACCCGGACCATCCAGTGTCTGCGCCAAGGTCGCCCTGCAGCTGGCTGCCTGCCACATCAGAGGCCTGTCACATCCAGAGCGTGCAACACACACTTCTGCCCCCCTGCTGCTCCTTCTCAGCACCCTGGACAGGTCACAGGACCCACACTGAGAGGTAAATTCCACAGAAGAGAAAAAAAGATCCCTTGTGGAAGTGACTTATACAACCCTACTTCTTAAAATATGTTCCCTTTAATTCATGGGTGTCAGTCTGATTTATTGGTATTGTAGCAAACATAAGCACAAGTTTCTGGCTTTATTTGACTTGGTTCGTAAATGCATCCTGTTTTTTGTTTTCCCTACAGATGAGCATTGTGTGGACCATTTCAGCTGGTGTCACTTGGTCCCTCAGCACGGCGTCTGTAACCACAAGTTCTATGGACAGCAATGCTGCAAGTCCTGCTCCAGCAAGAGGCCATAGAGCTCTGAAACCTCAGGGTCTGCGACTTCAAACCTCTAGGAATCAACCTGAAAAAGCATATGTGTGGATGATACCTGAAAACAAACACAGAGCGGTACTCAACATGTGTGATTTCCTCCTGGAGTACTTGACTAATAAACTCTCAAAAGAAGTAAAGGAGCAAAACTTTGGACTCCTTTTGTTAAGAAGGTGATGTGGCTGATGGTACTCCTCTGCCAAAGTGATCATGTGTCTCTTATCTTTAACTGCAAGTGAAAAGATAATTCAACAAACAGCAACTGAAAATAAGTGATTCAATATATTCATTAATGGTGTCCTTTTGTTGATTGTTTTCCTTTTGAAACCTCTAAAGCTGCAAGCCATTAAGAGACCAGGTAAGGATAATAGCATTTTTTTAGCTTGCTTTTACACTATATTGTTAAAAGCGTCTGGTTTCATACTCCTTTATTTAAGTTATTATGGTGCATAATATATGATTTTACATTTTGTGAAGTGTACAGTGGATCTGTGACCTGTTATATCTATGCTTGGATTTACCACTGGATCATGCCAGTCACCCATAGGTCCATGTAATAAGATTGAATAAGAAATGGAAATGGTCAGATTTCTGCACTTCTCCTTCAAATAACACTTACCCTGTTTTATTTACTGCTGCTGAGTCATACCTGACCATGTTTCTTATGTACATTCCTGTAATGTAAATGCTTTGAAAACATTCCTAATTGTGTATGTCAAACATTGAATGCAGTCAGTTGTAAGTGGTCCTTTTTATCTCTCCTGTATGGTTATGAAAATAGAGCATGGTATCTGTAGTCCTTTTTCTGTGCAGTTTCATTTTTACTCAAAGCCACGAGGAGGGGAACCAAGTACTGTGATGCCTGCTACCGGGTAGGGGGGCGACAGAAGGTAAGCATGGGTGAGGTCAACCTGGAAGGTTTTTCATTTTCCTCACAGCAGTCAGGTCAAAATGTGACCCTTATGTGGCAGTTTAGCAATGCTATAACTGGATAATAATAATAATAATAATAATAATAATAATAATAAAATTTATTCGTAGACATAAAAATCAACAAAAAGTACACAAGTAGCCAAAGTCCTGGCTCCAGGTAAGTGCAAATCTCTTGTTGAAAGTAATCAATGTCCACAGTCCTCAGTTCATGAGGGAGAAAGTTCCAAAGTTTCTGAGCAAAGAACTCAAATGCACAGTCTCCTTTGTTTCATAGTCTGGTCCGGGGGATCACCAGCAAACCCTGGTCAGAGGATCTTAGTGTCCTGCTGGAGCTATACAGCTTCAGCAGGTCTTTGATTTATGCTGGAGCTTGGCCATGCAAAGCTCCGAACACAAGGACAAGTAATCTAAATTGGATTCTGAATTGAATGGGTAGCCAGTGTAAAGACCTGAGGATGGGTGTGACGTTGCTGCAGCATTTTGAACCACTTGCAGGCGGTTCAATGAAGAGGTTTTTAAACAAGTAAACAAAGAATTGCAACAGTCCAAAGACAAAGATGACACTATGGGTCTGAGCTTGGAAATGTTTCTCAGATGATGAAAAAATGAGTGAACCAGGCCATTTTACATGCTGCTCCAGACTTTGGGCTTGGCCCATCTGGACACCCAAGTTTCAGACAGAAGGATTTACGGCAGATGATAAGACATCAAGACTTTCCTTACATTTGGCACAGCATGCTCGGGTGCTGAGATAAGAACCTCTGTTTTGTCAGAGTTAAACTGGACAAAATTATCTGCCATCCATGCTTCATTACAGTTCACGCCGTCAATTAAGTTGGACAACTTGGAGACATTATTTGATTTAAAGGACATGTACAGCTGAATGTCATCTGCATTTAAATGATAATATACTCCTTCAAAAATCCTTATCAGATAATCCAGAGGGAGCATGTACAGGGAAAACAACAAAGGGCCCAGGACAGAACCCTGAGGGACTCCACAAGACAGAAAAACTGAAAAAGATCTACCAGACAAGTAGGAGGAAAACCAGTCTGATGCTGTTCCAGAGACACCAACCCACTGTCTGAGCTGCCGGATCAGCACACTGTGCTCCACAGTATCGAAGGCTGTGCTGAGGTCCAGCAGGACCAGCACTGAACACTCCCCAGCATCAGCCTTCATTAACAAATCATTACTCACCCTGAGAAGAGCAGTCTCTGTAGAATGCTTCTCACAGACACCAGACTGAAATTTGTCAAAAACAGCGTGTTCATCCAGAACACGTGTGAGCTGCTTAGTCATTTTATCATGACTTACAAGGTCAGTTATTATAATGTGTTATAACTGTTAACAACTCACTGACAATGCCAACATAGATATTGCATATCTTATATATTTATGATATGTTATAATCTGGTTATAAACACTTATTATCATAAGGCTTTATAACAATAAGCATAACACATTAGTATTATTAGTGTTGAGTATTTTATAATGGCTTATAAGATCAAGCATTATAATACTTCATGATTGCTTGTCCCTTGCTAACAGAGTTTTGTTGCAAGGATCAAAGGGTATTATAATAATATAGTTGTCATATATTAGAACTCTTTATAATGCATTATAATCACTGGTATAATGCAATATAATTTGATTATAACTTACTCAAAATGGTTATTGGGTGCTTCAAGTAAAGTGATGAAACTGCTCAGGTATAGGCTGATATAACACATTACAAGCTGGTCAGAAGTTGGTAAAAGTGGTTTCCTTGAAGAAAAATGCACATCTTTTCGTCTATGCAAGAACGACACAAATTATTGCAAAATTTATTTTTATTAACAATGTGACACCTTCAAAAAACTGCATGTTTGTTGTACTTTCTTGTATCATGAATAAGGCGGCCAAGAATGCCTTCTCAGTGTTTTCTTCCCAGCCAGTACTCCCTCAGGTGTTCTTTTACAGTTTTTCTCAGTCGCTTTGGTACATTTCTCGAATCATCCTCGACATTTGCAAAACAGTAAGTCCTTTTCTCAAAACAATTTGTACAAATAGCAAAACACCATGGATTACCTGCAAAAGCCGGTCTCTTGCTCAAAATCCTTAGTACATATCTCAAAAGTAAATATCTGTGTCAATGAACATGTCAGTGCCATCAGAATGACAAGTCCTTGAGTCATTGTGTACGGATAAGACAGTCAAATTGCTTAGTCATGTTGTCAGTATAACAGTGTACTCTGGAGGGATGTTCTGATATAAACTATGGCTAAAGTTTTGATGACAATCATTGTAAATTGTAAGTTACACCTCAGTGTATGTGGGAGATTGATTGCAAGAGACTGTAATTTGATGACAGACCATGTCATTGCGATACAGAAAAGAAAAAAAAAACATTGCAGAGCACAATAAAAACTAGGGCCCCGTTGGGGCACTGGCGGGCCCGAGCCGTGTCGCGCCGCCCCCCCCCAACGCGCTGCCTCCCCGTCCCATTCGCGTCCTCTGGCCATCGCCCTCTCTGGTAACGCCCATCACTGCAAAGACCCTTTTCCTTCATCGGCGTTTGCTGTTCTTCCTGCCAGTGCGTGTTGCTTTCACTTACACTTGCCACAGCCAGCCTCGTGAGTGCCTAGCCTATTGGATATCACTGTCATCTACACAGGACAGTCATTACCTTTCTATTAATACTTTGTTTTTTAATTTCACATTAATTTCCATATTGTATAAATGACTGGGAACGTTGAGCCCCTGCCCCTGTATAATCATGTGCACGTCCCTGTTCTAGCTCCAAGGTGAATCTTCACTGCTCATGTTCTCCTCAGAAGCAGTCAACTCACTCCCCTCAGGTTACTGTACACATGCACCAACTGCCTGCTTCAGGTTTGGATGGAGCTTCATGGTTGTCTTTTGGAGAAATGACCAGTCAAGTTGTGTTTGAAATTTGATTTTTTTCAGGGGCAAAAAGAGCCTCTGCATTCTTGTCAAATATGTAAATAGCATGTTTTTGCAGGTGCCAAAAAAAATACTCTGAGTGTGTGTGTGTGTGTGTGTGTGTGTGTGTGTGTGTGTGTGTGTGTGTGTGTGTGTATATATCCTGCAGTACTCTGAGAAGAATAATAAGCATATTTCTGAGGTGAATTTTGAAGATTCATCTGAGAGTCAGGAGGGCTGATCATTCCCTTACCCTTTAGATGTCTGTCTATGTCTGTTTTTGTGTGATAATGAAAGAATCCCAACTCAAAAAGGCTCTGTTGATGTTTTTTTTTGTTGTTCATTCATATTCAAACCACTATTTTATATCACTGCTAATATGCCAAGACCATTTTATGGTATTTAGCTTTATTATTTCTATACATTTTGCAAGGAAAGAAACCAAGGCCTTCACTAAAATTTCCATAAACTTTAGGAAAGGACCTCTGGTTGTTTAAGGGGGTCATTACTGCAAAAACATATTCTTCCTAAATTTTGAAGGTCAAAGCTTAGATCCATTACGTTTAAATAGAAAAAGCATTAAAATATGTTAGGATTATAGCATATGACAAATGTGTGCCTCTCAGTGGCCATAACTACTTTGTCTGCTGGCTCTGCAGTCGATTGACGCTCCCCAGCGTTCAAGTCACATGACATATTTAACCGGATGTAGCTGCAAGACAGAGCCTCGTTGACTCTCCGTTTCAACTTATCTCAAAAGTGAGGACCTCAACCTATATACCAGTTTTTAAATTGTGTTTATAGGCCAAATAAAACCAGAGTTATGATAAATTATGTCCGCGATACTTTTTTTCTGCTTATTCTGATCACGTTCGGCGCTCGATCGCGCTGTATGAGACAGGAAAACATAGCATGCACACATTAGCGACAGGTCTTACAGGCGGAAAAGGCTTGCCAAAAGAAAAAAAAAACACACCACAACATTCTCCTATTGGTGGAAAACTTCACCACAACAACCAATCCAAAATTATATGGTGACTGATTGACAAGGGGCGGGCGCTTACGTTCTTCCTGCAACATGAGAAGGGAGGGAGGGACTCTCAGCAGGGATGCAGTCTGGGACACGTAGTTGCAAACCTAGCGACTTTGTTGTCAGATTCAATGACTTTTCAGACCCCCTAACGACTTTTTTTTAGAAAGAAAGGGACTTTTATCGACTTCTTCTGGAGTTTAGAGACTCTGACATGAAGCAGGCTTTCCTTACTGAGGAGTTAGCAACGCTGCTAAGGGTGCAGAGCCACACATGCGCTCCGAGCTCTGCATGGGAGACTGAAGCTGACAGAGCTGCAGCAGTTAGCAGGTTTCACCCTCAGAGACCACCAGGGGTTCATGTTGAGGCATTTTCAGTTTTTTTTTTTTTTTTTTTGCCATAGACACTGTCAGCACAATCTGCAGTTACACTAACAAAAATGCTGCAAAAAACAAAGAATTATGGAAAAATTACACATGGACTGACATAGAGGAGGATCTACACGAGTTTTTTACATCATGTTTTACATCATGCATCATTTACATCATGTTTTTTTGTAGTGGCATAAAAAAAAGTGACATTTGTGAGACTATACAGTGTTTTGTAAATAATTTTACAATGAACGCCTGGGCCATTGCCTGCATTTTGATGTAAATAGAGGTAAATTACTATGTTCTTTGTTAAAAATTTGCATATGTTTTGAAGTTTACAATTTTTATTTGAAGTTTAAGTTTTAAAAACAGTTCATCACACCTATTTGTGGTTTTCACAGTAAAAATGTTACTTTTTTCCACTCGGATTTTATGTTTTGTGTGTGAATTTGGGTCCATTGTGTAAATACAGTATGTCAAAATGATAAAATAACTGTAAATTCACACAGGTGAGGTTGTGCTGAAAAAAATGATACCAGGCAAGGCAAGGTAAAAATTTTTTAAGAGGAAATATAAAGGTAAAATTTAAAGTAGTCAAAAACGGCCAATAGTGACTCCTAGACACCATAGACAAGTCCCTTTGGCGCCACTCAGTGGCCAAAACTACTTTGTCTGCTGTAATGTATATTTGGGTCATCTTTGGGGCCCCCTAGAACGTAAACCGTGGGGTGCAGCGTCATGATTTTTACAACTTTAAATGGCCATGGGGTGTAGATTGGCCTGAGCAAATTTGGTGTCAGTGGGACGAAAGCCTTAGGAGGAGTTAGCCACATTCCAATGTGTGCGAATCGCCAAAAAATGCAAAATAGCCCTTTAACCGTACATTTGACAGATACGCGCGCATTGACTTTTTCGTAGATCTTATTGAGATACATGTGATTGTCAAATTTTGTGTCAATATGACAAAGCGAACAGGCTTGACACTCAACAATGTGTATTTTCACCTTAGGGGACAAGAAAAAATGGACTTTTTTCTCCTGCCATGGGGGGCGCTCTTTTGGGGAGTAAAGATTCCTTCACAAATGTGTTAATGGCTGGACATTGCATCATCCTAGAAAACTTGGAGGCCAGTGAGGACAAAAATAAAAAGTTATAAGACTTTTAAATATGTGGATTTTTGGGTTATCTTTGGCGCCCCCTAGAACGTAAACCGTGGGGTGCAGCGTCATGATTTGAACAATTTTAATGGCCATGGGGTGTAGATTGGCCTGAGCAAATGTGGTGCCGGTGGAACGAAAGCCTTCGGAGGAGTTAGCAAAATTCCAATGTGTGCGGATCGGCAAAAAATGTGGAATAACCCTTTAACCGTACATTTGACAGATACGCCCGCGCTGACTTTTTTGTAGATCTTATTGAGATACATGTGTGTGTCAATTTTTGTGTCATTTTGACAAAGCGTACAGCCGTCATGTGAATTTTCACCTTAGGGGGCGCTATGGAGCCATTTGGCATTTTATTGTTTGGGCGACTTCAGAATATCAAATTTTTCACCAGGCCCGGTCGTCCTGCCAAATTTCATGAGTTTTCGCCAGTGGGAAGTGGGCCATTTTCCAGTTCAAAGGGGAGGAAAAAGAAGAACTAGGGCCCCGTTGGGGCACTCGCGGGCCCGAGCTGTGTCGCGCCGCCCCCAGCACGACCGCCTCTCCCTCCCGATCGCGTCACACTCAAGGTCCAAAGATGGTGTGCGCACTTGTCTGTGGTCATTTACCATTATAATGAATGGGAGGCGCAGTTTCTACCAAAACGCTCGCTGCAGACAAACTACATGTCCTATTTGAAAAAAGTCTGGACCATGAGTGAGGGCACAAACACAGCTAGGATATATCCAAATGGCAAGTTGCTCCTCCTTTCGGTTTTGCCGAGAGAGCAATGTGTTTGAGCCATTGAGCGATGGGCAGGAAAAACTTGACTTTTTCTCCTGCCATGGGGGGGAGCTCTTTTAGGGAGTAAAAATTCCTTCACAAATGTGTTGATGGCTAGACATTGCATCATCCTAGAAAACTTGGAGGCCATTGAGGACAAAAATAAAAAGCTATAAGACTTTTAAGAATGTGGATTTTTGGGTTATCTTTGGCGCCCCCTAGAACGTAAACCGTGGCGTGTAGCACCATGATTTGTACATTTTTTAATGGCCATGGGGTGTAAATTGGCCTGAGCAAATTTGGTGCCGGTGGAACGAAAGCCTTCGGAGGAGTTAGCGAAATTCCAATGTGTGCGGATCGGCAAAAAATGCGAAATAACCCTTCAACCGTACATTTGACAGATACGCCCACACTGACTTTTTTGTAGATCTTATTGAGATACATGTGTGTGTCAAATTTTGTGTCAATATGACAAAGCGTACAGGCGTGACAGTCAATGGTGTGAATTTTCACCTTTGGGGGCGCTATGGAGCCATTTTGCATTTTATTGTTTGGGCGACTTCAGAATATCGAATTTTTTACCAGGCCCGGTCGTCCTGCCAAATTTCATGAGTTTTCGCCAGTGGGAAGTGGGCCATTTTCCAGTTCAAAGGGGAGGAAAAAGAAGAAGACTAGGGCCCCGTTGGGGCACTGGCGGGCCCGAGCCGTGTCGCGCACCCCCCCCCCCAACGCGATCGCCTCCCCGTCCCATTCGCGTCCTCTGGCCATCGCCCTCTCTGGTAACGCCCATCACTGCAAAGACCCTTTTCCTTCATCGGCGTTTGCTGTTCTTCCTGCCATTGCATGTTGCTTTCACTTACACTTGCCACAGCCAGCCTCATGAGTGCCTGGCCTGGTTTGACCTTTGCTCACCATGATTGTGTGACCTTGGTATCGGCTACTTGGGAAGTTCCACCGTCGTGGCAAAGCTTTGTTTGCGTGCTGTGCTCAACCACCTATTTTCTATGGATGTGTAAGTAAACCACTTTCTTTTCTAACACAATGACACACTCATCTTTTAGGGAGAAAAATTCCTTCACAAATGTGTTGATGGCTGGACATTGAATCATCCTAGAAAACTTGGAGGCCAGTGAGGACAAAAATAAAAGTTAGAAGACTTTTAAACATGTGGATATTTGGGTCATCTTTGGCGCCCCCTAGAACGTAAACTGTGGGGTGCAGCATCATGATTTGAACAACTTTGAATGGCCATGGGGTGTAGATTGGCCTGAGCAAATTTGGTGTCGGTGGGACGAAAGCCTTAGGAGGAGTTAGCCACATTCCAATGTGTGCGAATCGGCAAAAAATGCGAAATAGCCCTTTAACCGTACATTTTACAGATACGTGCGCATTGACTTTTTCGTAGATCTTATTGAGCTACACATGATTGTCAAATTTTGTGTCAATATGACAAAGCGTACAGGCGTGACACTCAACAATGTGTATCTTTACCTTAGGGGTAAAGAGAAAAATTGACTTTTTTCTACTGCCATGGGGGGGGGGGGGGGGGGCGCTCTTTTAGGGAGTAAAAATTCCTTCACACATGTGTTGATGGCTGGACATTGCATCATCCTAGAAAACTTGGAGGCCAGTGAGGACAAAAATAACTAGGGCCCCGTTGGGGCACTGGCGGGCCCGAGCCGTGTCGCGCCGCCCCCCCCCCCCCAACGCGCTGCCTCCCCGTCCCATTCGTGTCCTCTGGCCATCGCCCTCTCTGGTAACGCCCATCACTGCAAAGACCCTTTTCCTTCATCGGCGTTTGCTGTTCTTCCTGCCAGTGCGTGTTGCTTTCACTTACACTTGCCACAGCCAGCCTCGTGAGTGCCTAGCCTATTGGATATCACTGTCATCTACACAGGACAGTCATTACCTTTCTATTAATACTTTGTTTTTTAATTTCACATTAATTTCCATATTGTATAAATGACTGGAAAAAACTTGAGCCCCTGCCCCTGTATAATCATGTGCACGTCCCTGTTCTAGCTCCAAGGTGAATCTTCACTGCTCATGTTCTCCTCAGAAGCAGTCACCTCACTCCCCTCAGGTTACTGTACACATGCACCAACTGCCTGCTTCAGGTTTGGATGGAGCTTCATGGTTGTCTTTTGGAGAAATGAGCAGTCAAGTTGTGTTTGAAATTTGATTTTTTTCAGGGGCAAAAGGAGCCTCTGCATTCTTGTCAAATATGTAAATAGCATGTTTTTGCAGGTGCTAAAAAACAGACTCTGAGTGTGTCTGTGTGTGTGTGTGTGTGTGTGTGTGTGTGTGTGTGTGTGTGTGTGTGTGTGTGTGTGTGTCTGTGTGTGTGTATATATCTTGCAGTACTCTGAGAAAAATAATAAGCATATTTCTGCGGTGAATTTTGAAGATTCATCTGAGAGTTAGGAGGGCTGATCATTCCCTTACCCTTTAGATGTCTGTCTATGTCTGTTTTTGTGTGATAATGAAAGAATCCCAACTCAAAAAGGCTCTGTTGATGTTTTTTTTTGTTGTTCATTCATATTCAAACCACTATTTTATATCACTGCTAATACGCCAAGACCATTTTATGGTATTTAGCTTTATTATTTCTATACATTTTGCAAGGAAAGAAACCAAGGCCTTCACTAAAATTTCCATAAACTTTAGGAAAGGACCTCTGGTTGTTTAAGGGGGTCATTACTGCAAAAAAATATTCTTCCTAAATTTTGAAGGTCAAACCTTAGATCCATTAGGTTTAAATAGAAAAAGCATTAAAATATGTTAGGATTATAGCATATGACAAATGTGTGCCTCTCAGTGGCATAACTACTTTGTCTGCTGGCTCTGCAGTCGATTGACGCTCCCCAGCGTTCAAGTCACATGACATATTTAACCGGATGTAGCTGCAAGACGGAGCCTCGTTCACCCTCCGTTTCAACTTATCTCAAAAGTGAGGACCTCAAACTATATACCAGTTTTTAAATTGTGTTGATAGGCCAAATTAAAACCAGAGTTATGATAAATTATGTCCGCGATACTTTTTTTCTGCTTATTTTGATCACATTCGGCGCTCGATCACGCTGTATGAGACAGGAAAACATAGCATGCAGACATTAGCGACAGGTCTTACAGGCGGAAAAGGCATGCCAAAAGAAAAAAAAAACACACCACAACATCTCTCCTATTGGTGGAAAACTTCACCACAACAACCAATCCAAAATTATATGGTGACTGATTGACACGGGACGGGTGCTCGCGTTCTTCCTGCAACTTGAGAAGGGAGGGAGGGACTCTCAGCAGGGATGCAGTCTGGGACACGTAGTTGCAAACCTAGCGACTTTGTTGTTAGATTCAATGACTTTTCAGACCCCCTAACGACTTTTTTTTAGAAAGAAAGGGAATTTTATCGACTTCCTCTGGAGTTTAGAGACTCTGACATGAAGCAGGCTTTCCTTACTGAGGAGTTAGCAACGCTGCTAAGGGTGCAGAGCCACACATGCGCTCCGAGCTCTGCATGGGAGACTGAAGCTGACAGAGCTGCAGCAGTTAGCAGGTTTCACCCTCAGAGACCACCAGGAGTTCATGTTGAGGCATTTTCAGTTTTTTTTTTTTTTGCCATAGACACTGTCAGCACAATCTGCAGTTACACTAACAAAAATGCTGCAAAAAACAAAGAATTATGGAAAAATTACACATGGACTGACATAGAGGAGGATCTACACAAGTTTTTTACATCATGTTTTACATCATGCATCATTTACATCATGTTTTTTTGTAGTGGCATAAATAAAAAGTGACATTTGTGAGACTATACAGTGTTTTGTAAATAATTTTACAAAGAACGCCTGGGCCATTGCCTGCATTTTGATGTAAATAGAGGTAAATTACTATGTTCTTTGTTAAAAATTTGCATATGTTTTAAAGTTTACAATTTTTATTTGAAGTTTAAGTTTTAAAAACAGTTCATCACACATATTTGTGGTTTAATTTCACATTAATTTCCATATTGTATAAATGACTGGAAAAAACTTGAGCCCCTGCCCCTGTATAATCATGTGCACGTCCCTGTTCTAGCTCCAAGGTGAATCTTCACTGCTCATGTTCTCCTCAGAAGTAGTCACCTCACTCTCCTCAGGTTACTGTACACATGCACCAACTATCTGCTTCAGGTTTGGATGGAGCTTCATGGTTGTCTTTTGGAGAAATGAGCAGTCAAGTTGTGTTTGAAATTTGATTTTTTTCAGGGGCAAAAGGAGCCTCTGCATTCTTGTCAAATATGTAAATAGCATGTTTTTGCAGGTGCTAAAAAACAGACTCTGAGTGTGTGTGTGTGTGTGTGTGTGTGTGTGTGTGTGTGTGTGTTGGCGTGTGTGTATATGTGTGTGTGTCCGGCAGTACTCTGTACTCCTGCAGTGGCCAAAAAGACTTTTAAGAATGTGGATTTTTGGGTCATCTTTGGCGCCCCCTAGAACTGCAGTACTCTGTACTCCTGCAGTGGCCAAAATGACTTTTAAGAATGTGAATTTTTGGGTCATCTTTGGCGCCCCCTAGAACGTAAACCGTGGGGTGCAGCGTCATGATTTTTACAACTTTGAATGGCCATGGGGTGTAGATTGCCCTGAGCAAATTTGGTATCGGTGGGACGAAAGCCTTAGGAGGAGATAGCCACATTCCAATGTGTGCGAATCGGCAAAAAATGCGAAATAGCCCTTTAACCATACATTTGACAGATACGTGCCTATTGACTTTTTTGTAGATCTTATTGAGATACACGTGATTATCAAATTGTGTGTCAATATGACAAAGTGTATAGGCGTGACACTCAACAATGTGTATTTTTACCTTAGGAGACAAGAAAAAATGGACTTTTTTCTCCTGCCATGGGGGGGCGCTCTTTTGGGGAGTAAAAATTCCTTCACAAATGTGTTGATAGCTTGACATGGCATCATCCTAGAAAACTTGGAGGCCAGTGAGGACAAAAATAAAAAGTTATAAGACTTTTAAGAATGTGGATTTTTGGGTTATCTTTGGCGCCCCCTAGAACGTAAACCGTGGGGTGCAGCATCATGATTTGTACAACTTTTAATGGCCATGGGGTGTAGATTGGCCTGAGCAAATGTGGTGCCGGTGGAACGAAAGCCTTCGGAGGAGTTAGCGAAATTCCAATGTGTGCGGATCGGCAAAAAATGCGAAATAGCCCTTTAACCGTACATTTGACAGATACGCCCGCACTGACTTTTTTGTAGATCTTATTGAGATACACATGTGTGTCAAATTTTGTGTCATTTTGACAAAGTGTAAAGGCGTGACAGTCAACAATGTGTATTTTCGCCTTAGGAGACAAGAAAAAATGGATTTTTTCTCCTGCCATGGGGGGGCGCTCTTTTGGCGAGTAAAAATTCCTTCACAAATGTGTTGATGGCTGGACATTGCATCATCCTAGAGAACTTGGAGGCCAGTGAGGACAAAAATAAAAAGTTATAAGACTTTTAAGACTGTGGATTTTTGGGTTATCTTTGGCGCCCCCTAGAACGTAAACTGTGGGGTGTAGCGTCATGATTTGTACAACTTTTAATGGCCATGGGGTGTAGATTGGCCTGAGCAAATGTGGTGCCTTTGGAACGAAAGCCTTCGGAGGAGTTAGCGAAATTCCAATGTGTGCGGATCGGCAAAAAATGCGAAATAGCCCTTTAACCGTACATTTGACAGATACGCCCGCACTGACTTTTTCGTAGATCTTATTGAGATACATGTGTGTGTCAATTTTTGTGTCAATATGACAAAGCGTAAAGGCGTGACAGTCAATAGTGTGAATTTTCGCCTTAGGAGACAAGAAAAAATGGACTTTTTTCTCCTGCCATGGGGGGGCGCTCTTTTGGCGAGTAAAAATTCCTTCACAAATGTGTTGATGGCTGGACATTGCATCATCCTAGAGAACTTGGAGGCCAGTGAGGACAAAAATAAAAAGTTATAAGACTTTTAAGACTGTGGATTTTTGGGTTATCTTTGGCGCCCCCTAGAACGTAAACCGTGGGGTGCAGCGTCATGATTTGTACAACTTTTAATGGCCATGGGGTGTAGATTGGCCTGAGCAAATGTGTTGCCGGTGGAACGAAAGCCTTCGGAGGAGTTAGCGAAATTCCAATGTGTGCGGATCGGCAAAAAATGCGAAATAACCCTTTAACCGTACATTTGACAGATACGCCCGCACTGACTTTTTTGTAGATCTTATTGAGATACATGTGTGTGTCAATTTTTGTGTCAATATGACAAAGCGTAAAGGCGTGACAGTCAATAGTGTGAATTTTCACCTTAGGGGGCGCTATGGAGCCATTTTGCATTTTATTGTTTGGGCGACTTCAGAATATCGAATTTTTCACCAGGCCCATTCGTCCTGCCAAATTTCATGAGTTTTCGCCAGTGGGAAGTGGGCCATTTTCCCCTTCAAAGGGGAGGAAAAATAAGAAGAAAGAAAGAAAGAAAGAAAGAAAGAAAGAAGAAAGAAAAACCTATACAGGAATAATAGGGCTCTACGCCCGGCTGCTCTGCAGCTGGCTCGGGCCCTAAAAAGTTATAAGACTTTGAAGAATGTGGATTTTTGGGTCATCTTTGGCACCCCCTAGAATGTAAACCGTGGGGTGCAGCATCATGATTTGTACAACTTTGAATGGCCATGGGGTATAGATTGGCCTGAGCAAATTTGATGCCGGTGGAACGAAAGCCTTCGGAGGAGTTAGCAAAATTCCAATTTGTGCGGATCGGCAAAAAATGCGAAAAAGCCCTTTTATTGTACATTTGACAGATACGCGCGCATTGAGTTTTTCGTAGATCTTATAGAGATACACGTGATTGTCAAATTTTGTGTCAATATGACAAAGCGTACAGGCATGACACTCAACAATGTGTATTTTCACCTCATGGGACAAGAAAAAATTGACTTTTTTCTCCTGCCATGGAGGGGCGCTCTTTTGGGGAGAAAAAATTCCTTCAAAATTATGTTGATGGCTGGACATTGCATCATCCTAGAAAACTTGGAGGCCAGTGAGGACTAAAATAAAAAGTTATAAGACTTTTAAGAATGTGGATTTTTGGGTTATTTTTGGCGCCCCCTTGAACCTAAACCGTGGGGTGCAGCGTCATGATTTGTACAACTTTGAATGGCAATGAGGTGTAGATTGGCCTGAGCAAATTTGGTGCCGGTGAAACGAAAGCCTTCGGAGGAGTTAGCGAAATTCCAATGTGTGCGGATCAGCAAAAAATACAAAATAGCCCTTTAACCGTACATTTGACAGGTACGCCCACGCTGACTTTTTTGTAGATCTTATTGAGATACACGTGTGTGTCAATTTTTGTGTCAATATGACAAAGCGTACAAACGTGACACTCTATAGTGTGAATTTTCACCTTAGGGGGCGCTATGGAGCCATTTCGCATTTTATTGTTTGGGTGACTTCAGATTATCAAATTTTTCACCAGGCCCGGTCTTCCTGCCAAATTTCATGAGTTTTCGCCAGTGGGAAGTGGGCCATTTTCCCCTTCAAAGGGGAGGAAAAATAAGAAAGAAAGAAACAAAGAAGAATCCATCAGGAATAATAGGGCTCTCGCAGCTGCTTAGCAGCTACGCTCGGGCCCTAAAGAAAGAAGAACCCATACAGGAATAATAGGGCTCTACGCCCGGCTGCTCTGCAGCTGGCTTGGGCCCTAAAGAATGAAGAAAGAAAAACCCCATCAATGACAAGAGGGCCTACGCCCACTAGTGGGCTCGGGCCCTAACTAGGGCCCCGTTGGGGCACTGGCGGGCCCGAGCCCTGTTGTGCCGCCCCCAACGCAAACGCATCCCCCTCCCGATCGCATCACACTCAAGGTCCAAAGATGGTGTGCGCACCTGTCTGTGGTCATTTACCATTATAATGAACGGAAGGTGCAGTTTCTATCAAAACGCTCGCTGCAGACAAACTACATGTCCTATTTGAAAAAAGTCTGGACCATGAGTGAGGGGACAAACACAGCTAGGATATATCCAAATGGCAAGTTGCTCCTCCTTTCGGTTTTAGCGGGAGAGCAATACGTTTGAGCCATTGAGCGATGGGCAGGAAAAACTTGACTTTTTCTCCTGCCATGGGGGGTAAGGAAAATGACCAATTTTTTTTATTAAACATTATAAAAACTGGTTATCTCTTGCAGGGCATCAAAGTCTTGAATATGTGAGAGATAAGTAATATGATTGACTTTGATGCCTTTTAACTTTTTCTGTAGCATCAGATTTAATAGAAAGCTCCCTTTGGCGCCCCTCAGTGGCCATAACTACCTTGTCTGCTGTTAATAGACAACTCCCTTTGGCGCCACTCAGTGGCCAAAAGTACTTTGTCTGCTGTAAAATCAAATTGGATTCATATTTTTTCCAGATTTTTCTTTTTTACATCTCTTATTTTACTTCTGCCCTGTTCAAAACTAGCAAATGTTTCATTGAAAATATTTTTTTAACCCTTTAAGAGCCCATTCAAGACATAAAGTCACTAATATAGCAAAAATTTGAGCCTTTTAGCTTTTTCTGTAGCATCAGATTTAATAAACGAATTTGGCCTGAGCAAATTTGGTGTCGGTGGGACGAAAGCCTTAGGAGGAGTTAGCAACATTCCAATGTGTGCGAATCGGCAAAAAATGCGAAATAGCCCTTTAACCGTACATTTCACAGATACGTGCGCATTGACTTTTTCGTAAATCTTATTGAGATACACGTGTGTGTCAAATTTTGTGTCAATATGACAAAGTGTATAGGCGTGACACTCAACAAAGTGTATTTTCACCTTAGTGGACAAGAAAAAATGGACTTTTTTCTCCTGCCATGGGGGGGCGCTCTTTTGGGGAGTAAAAATTCCTTCTCAAATGTGTTGATGGCTGGACATTGCATTATCCTAGAAAACTTGGAGGCCAGTGAGGACTAAAATAAAAAGTTATAAGACTTTTAAGAATGTGGATTTTTGGTTTTTTTTTGGCGCCCCCTAGAACTTAAACCGTAGGGTGCAGCGTCATGATTTGTACAACTTTTAATGGCCATGGGGTGTAGATTGGCCTGAGCAAATTTGGTGCCGGTGGAACGAAAGCCTTCAGAGGAGTTAGCCACATTCCAATGTGTGCGGACCGGCAAAAAATGCGAAATAGCCCTTTAACCGTACTTTTCACAAAAGCGCCTGCACTGACTTTTTCGTAGACCTTATTAAGATACACGTGTGTGTCAATTTTTGTATCAATATGACAAAGCGTACAGACGTGGTTTTTGGCGTTAGGGTTAAAATCACTGTCCAAAACCTTTGTAGGAACTCTTTTCCAACCTTTTGGAGTTAGCTAGACCAAAAAAAAAAACGAAAAATGAAATGAAAAATGTTTGGGGTTTGAAGGCTTCCTGAAGGTAATACCCGGGTATTAGGTTACGGGGCTATGGTAAGGTTTAAGGTTTTTGGCGTTAGGGTTAAAATCACTGTCCAAAACCTTTGTAGGATCTGCTTTTCCAACCTTTTTGAGTTAGTTAGACAAGAAAAAAAAAACGAAAAATGAAATGAAAATTTTTTGGGGTGTGGGTAAGAGATAGAGTGATAGCCCCCACATTCGTCAGTTGCCTTGGCGGTTTGGGGTAGGCTAATCAAGGGCTTGCACTGGCCGGCGCATGTCGACCTGTCACATGTTCCCAGTCGAGTCTCCGAGCTCAATCTGTGTGTAAAAATTATGTGTTGGTAGGAAGTTTAATGACTCAGCTCAATTGGTATGCTATGCTGTCTATCTTTTAGACTATGTGTTTGTAGAGCAATTATTTTTGGAAGTTCAGTCAGGGATTAGAGTTGGTATGGTTAAGTGTTAAAATAATAATAATAATAATAATAATAATAATAATAATAATATTAATAATAATAATTTTTCTTATTGAGAAGGACTAGGTGGTGTTAGTAGGGAGGGAATAGGGTGAATTTTATCTATAGGAGTAGGGTTATGGTGCATTAGTGCAAAGTCTCAGAGTTGCCACAAACTTCAAACACGACACAAACTCAAGTTCAAAAACGACACAAACTGAAGTTCAACAAACAAAACTAACTATTAAGAGTAATTTTGAGGTGTTTGAGAGGTTTTTCGTAGACTTACCCTAGTGGTCCTATGTTGTTGTTGATGTGAGGCGTTTCTTTTCCAGTAGTCTAAAATCTGTTGGAGGGGGGGAAAGGTTCCAGCTGTCCAGCCGCGGCGGCAGCGGTGTGTCTGAAGTCCGGGGTCCTCGGCGGGGGAAAGAAGATAGGCGATCCGTGGGAAGGTTTGCTGGGACTCGGTGCCGTCGGCGGGTCGAAGCTCGGTGGTGGGCGGCTTGGAGTGATGGAGGTGCGGCGTCTTCTTTCAGGTGGCGGCGCGGCGTCTTCCTCGAGGCGGTGGTCCGTCTTCTTGGTCCAGTGGTCAGTGCTCAATTACAGGAACAGGAATTGCTGTTTAGTGCACAGCACTTAAATGTGCTTTTGACAGGAGAAGACATCCTCAGAGTTGGGCTCCAGTCATGGTTTGTGCTGTTCCTCTCAGACATGGTTGTGTTCTCTTCTCGATGTTTGTATTCCAGAATGGATGTCTCTTGGTTGTATTTTAAACTTTCAAGTTGTTTTAAGTTAATTTTAATGTAGTTTTGTTTTAAATTGAGTTTTGCTACATTAAATTTGTATGCAATGGTAAGGGATTGTGGGTATTTTAGTTCTCAGGGATGAGAGCCTAAGGAATCAATCTTCCTGTTACAGCAAAGGATTTGTGGGTAAAACCGTGAGTGAGGGAGGTACATTTTTCCTGGCATGAGAACCTCAGGAGTCAGTCCTTCCTAAGAAAAAAGAGGGGAGGGGGGAAGAAAAACAAAAGCACAGGAACCCTAAAATAAAATAAAATAAAATAATATAAAACAATGAAAAAACTAGGGCCCCGTTGGGGCACTGGCGGGCCCGAGCCGTGTCGCGCCGCCCCCAACACGACCACCTCTCCCTACCGATCGCGTCACACTCAAGGTCCAAAGATGGTGTGCGCACTTGTCTGTGGTCATTTACAATTATAATGAATGGGAGGCGCAGTTTCTACCAAAACGCTCGCCGCAGACAAACTACATGTCCTATTTGAAAAGGACTGGACCATGAGTGAGGGCACAAACACAGCTAGGATATATCCAAATGGCAAGTTGCTCCTCCTTTCGGTTTTGCCGAGAGAGCGATGTGTTTGAGTCATTGAGCGATGGGCAGGAAAAACTTGACTTTTTCTCCTGCCATGGGGGGGGGGCGCTCTTTTAGGGAGTAAAAATTCCTTCACAAATGTGTTGATGGCTAAACATTGCATCATCCTAGAAAACTTGGAGGCCAGTGAGGACAAAAATAAAAAGTTATAAGACTTTTAAGAATGTGGATTTTTGGGTTATCTTTGGCGCCCCCTAGAACATAAACCGTGGGGTGCAGCGTCATGATTTTTACAACTTTGAATGGCCATGGGGTGTAGATTGGCCTGAGTAAATTTGGTGTCAGTGGAACGAAAGATTTAGGAGGAGTTAGCCACATTCCAATGTGTGCGAATCGACCAAAAATGCGAAATAGCCCTTTAACCGTACATTTTACAGATACGCGCCCATTGACTATTTCGTAGATCTTATTGAGAAACACGTGATTGTCAAAGTTTGTTTCAATATGACAAAGCGTACAGGCGTGACACTCAATAATGTGAATTTTCACCTTAGGGGGGAAGAAAAACTGGACTTTTTTCTCCTGCCATGGGGGGGCGCTCTTTTGGGGAGTAAAAATTCCTTCACAAATGTGTTGATGACTGAACATTGCATCATCCTAGAAAACTTGGAGGCCAGTGAGGACAAAAATAAAGTTATAAGACTTTTAAAAATGTGGATATTTGGGTCATCTTTGGCGCCCCCTAGAACGTAAACCGTGGGATGCAGCGTCATGATTTGTACAACTTTGAATGGCCATGGGGTGTAGATTGGCCTGAGCAAATTTGGTGTCAGTGGAACGAAAGCCTTAGGAGGAGTTAGCCACATTCCAATGTGTGCGAATCGGCAAAAAATGCGAAATAGCCCTTTAACTGTACATTTTACAGATACGCGCACATTGACTTTTTCGTAGATCTTATTGAGATACACGTGATTGTCAAATTTTGTGTCAATATGACAAAGCGTACAGGCGTGACACTCAACAATGTGTATATTCGCCTTAGGGGACAAGAAAAAATGGACTTTTTTCTCCTGCCATGGGGGGGCGCTCTTTTGGCGAGTAAAAATTCCTTCACAAATGTGTTAATTGCTGGACATTGCATCATCCTAGAGAACTTGGAGGCCAGTGAGGACAAAAATAAAAAGTTATAAGACTTTTAAGACTGTGGATTTTTGGGTTATCTTTGGCGCCCCCTAGAACGTAAACCGTGGGGTGCAGCGTCATGATTTGTACAACTTTTAATGGCCATGGGGTGTAGATTGGCCTGAGCAAATGTGGTGCCGGTGGAACGAAAGCCTTCGGAGGAGTTAGCGAAATTCCAATGTGTGCGGATCGGCAAAAAATGCGAAATAACCCTTTAACCGTACATTTGACAGACACGCCCGTGCTGACTTTTTTGTAGATCTTATTGAGATACATGTGTGTGTCAATTTTTGTGTCAATATGACAAAGCGTACAGGCGTGACAGTCAATAGTGTGAATTTTCACCTTAGGGGGCGCTATGGAGCCATTTTGCATTTTATTGTTTGGGCGACTTCAGAATATCGAATTTTTCACCAGGCCCGGTCGTCCTGTCAAATTTCATGAGTTTTCGCCAGTGGGAAGTGGGCCATTTTCCCCTTCAAAGGGGAGGAAAAATAAGAAGAAAGAAAGAAAGAAAGAAAGAAAGAAGAAAGAAAAACTCATCAGGAACAACAGGGCTCTCGCAGCTGCTTAGCAGCTACGCTCGGGCCCTAACTAGGGCCCCGTTGGGGCACTGGCGGGCCCGAGCCGTGTCGCATCCCCCCCCCCCCCCCAACGTGCTGCCTTCCCGTCCCATTTGTGTCCTCTGGCCATCGCCCTCTCTGGTAACGCCCATCACTGCAAAGACCCTTTTCCTTCATCGGCGTTTGCTGTTCTTCCTGCCAGTGCGTGTTGCTTTCACTTACACTTGCCACAGCCAGCCTCGTGAGTGCCTAGCCTATTGGATATCACTGTCACCTACACAGGACAGTCATTACCTTTCTATTAATACTTTGTGTTTTAATTTCACATTAATTTCCATATTGTATAAACGACTGGAAAAAACTTGAGCCCCTGCCCCTGTATAATCATGTGCATGTCTCTGTTCTAGCTCCAAGGTGAATCTTCACTGCTCATGTTCTCCTCAGAAGCACTCACCTCACTCCCCTCAGGTTACTGTACACATGCACCAACTGCCTGCTTCAGGTTTGGATGGAGCTTCATGGTTGTCTTTTGGAGAAATGACCAGTCAAGTTGTGTTTGAAATTTGATTTTTTTCAGGGGCAAAAGGAGCCTCTGCATTCTTGTCAAATATGTAAATAGCATGTTTTTGCAGGTGCTAAAAACCAGACTCTGAGTGTGTGTGTGTGTCTGTGTGTGCGTTCAAGTCACATGACATATTTAACCGGATGTAGCTGCAAGACGGAGCCTCGTTGACTCTCCGTTTCAACTTATCTCAAAAGTGAGGACCTCAACCTATATACCAGTTTTTAAATTGTGTTGATAGGCCAAATAAAACCAGAGTTATGATAAATTATGTCCGCGATACTTTTTTTCTGCTTATTTTGATCACGTTCGGCGCTCGATCACGCTGTATGAGACAGGAAAACATAGCATGCAGACATTAGCGACAGGTCTTACAGGCGGAAAAGGCTTGCCAAAAGAAAAAAAAAACACACCACAACATCTCTCCTATTGGTGGAAAACTTCACCACAACAACCAATCCAAAATTATATGGTGACTGATTGACAAGGGGCGGGCGCTTACGTTCTTCCTGCAACATGAGAAGGGAGGGAGGGACTCTCAGCAGGGATGCAGTCTGGGACACGTAGTTGCAAACCTAGCGACTTTGTTGTTAGATTCAATGACTTTTCAGACCCCCTAACGACTTTTTTTTAGAAAGAAAGGGACTTTTATCGACTTCTTCTGGAGTTTAGAGACTCTGACATGAAGCAGGCTTTCCTTACTGAGGAGTTAGCAACGCTGCTAAGGGTGCAGAGCCACACATGCGCTCAGAGCTCTGCATGGGAGACTGAAGCTGACAGAGCTGCAGCAGTTAGCAGGTTTCACCCTCAGAGACCACCAGGGGTTCATGTTGAGGCATTTTAATTTTTTTTTTTTTTTGTGCCATAGACACTGTCAGCACAATCTGCAGCTACACTAACAAAAATGCTGCAAAAAACAAAGAATTATGGAAAAATTACACATGGACTGACATAGAGGAGGATCTACACAAGTTTTTTACATCATGTTTTACATCATGCATCATTTACATCATGTTTTTTTGTAGTGGCATAAATAAAAAGTGACATTTGTGAGACTATACAGTGTTTTGTAAATAATTTTACAAAGAACGCCTGGGCCATTGCCTGCATTTTGATGTAAATAGAGGTAAATCACTATGTTCTTTGTTAAAAATTTGCATATGTTTTGAAGTTTACAATTTTTATTTGAAGTTTAAGTTTTAAAAACAGTTCATCACACATATTTGTGGTTTAATTTCACATTAATTTCCATATTGTATAAATGACTGGAAAAAACTTGAGCCCCTGCCCCTGTATAATCATGTGCACGTCCCTGTTCTAGCTCCAAGGTGAATCTTCACTGCTCATGTTCTCCTCAGAAATAGTCACCTCACTCCCCTCAGGTTACTGTACACATGCACCAACTATCTGCTTCAGGTTTGGATGGAGCTTCATGGTTGTCTTTTGGAGAAATGAACAGTCAAGTTGTGTTTGAAATTTGATTTTTTTCAGGGGCAAAAGGAAGCCTCTGCATTCTTGTCAAATATGTAAACAGCATGTTTTTGCAGGTGCTAAAAAACAGACTCTGAGTGTGTGTGTGTGTGTGTGTGTGTGTGTGTGTGTGTGTGTGTGTGTGTGTGTGTATGTGTTTGGCGTGTGTGTATATGTGTGTGTATCCTGCAGTACTCTGTACTCTTGCAGTGGCCAAAAAGACTTTTAAGAATGTGGATTTTTGGGTCATCTTTGGCGCCCCCTAGAACTGCAGTACTCTGTACTCCTGCAGTGGCCAAAATGACTTTTAAGAATGTGGATTTTTGGGTCATCTTTGGCGCCCCCTAGAACGTAAACCGTGGGGTGCAGCGTCATGATTTTTACAACTTTGAATGGGCATGGGGTGTAGATTGCCCTGAGCAAATTTGGTATCGGTGGGACGAAAGCCTTAGGAGGAGATAGCCACATTCCAATGTGTGCGAATCGGCAAAAAATGCAAAATAGCCCTTTAACCGTACATTATACAGATACGCGCTCTTTGACTTTTTCGTAGATCTAATTGAGATACACATGATTGTCAATTTTTGTGTCAATATGACATAGCGTTCAGGCGTGACACTCAACAATGTGTATTTTCATGTAAGGGGACAAGAAAAAATTGACTTTTTTCTCCTACCATGGGGGGGGGGCGCTCTTTTGGGGAGTAAAAATTCCTTCACAAATGTGTTGATGGCTGGACATTGCATCATCCTAGAAAACTTGGAGGCCAGTGAGGACAAAAATAAAAAGTTATAAAACATTTAAGAATGTGGATTTTTGGGTTATTTTTGGCGCCCCCTAGAACCTAAACCATGGGGTGCAGCATCATGATTTGAATAACTTTTAATGGCCATGGGGTGTAGATTGGCCTGAGCAAATGTGGTGCCGGTGGAACGAAAGCCTTCGGAGGAGTTAGCGAAATTCCAATGTGTGCGTATCGGCAAAAAATGCGGAATAACCCTTTAACCGTACATTTGACAGATACGCGCGCATGGACTTTTTTGTAGATCTTATTGAGATACATGTGTGTGTCAATTTTTGTGTCAATATGACAAAGCGTACAGCCGTCATGTGAATTTTCACCTTAGGGGGCGCTATGGAGCCATTTTGCATTTTATTGTTTGGGCGACTTCAGAATATCGAATTTTTCACCAGGCCCGGTCGTCCTGCCAAATTTCATGAGTTTTCGCCAGTGGGAAGTGGGCCATTTTCCAGTTCAAAGGGGAGGAAAAAGAAAAAAGAAACAAAGAAAAACCACTTGGGGAATAATAGGGCTCTCGCAGCTGCTTAGCAGCTACGCTCGGGCCCTAACTAGGACCCCGTTGGGGCACTGGCGGGCCCGAGCCGTGTCGCCCCCCCCCCAACGTGCTGCCTCCCTGTCCCATTTGTGTCCTCTGGCCATCGCCCTCTCTGGTAACGCCCATCACTGCAAAGACCCTTTTCCTTCATCGGCGTTTGCTGTTCTTCCTGCCAGTGCGTGTTGCTTTCACTTACACTTGCCACAGCCAGCCTCGTGAGTGCCTAGCCTATTGGATATCACTGTCACCTACACAGGACAGTCATACTTTGTTTTTTAATTTCACATTAATTTCCATATTGTATAAACGACTGGAAAAAACTTGAGCCCCTGCCCCTGTATTATCATGTGCACGTCCCTGTTCTAGCTCCAAGGTGAATCTTCACTGCTCATGTTCTCCTCAGAAGCAGTCACCTCACTCCCCTCAGGTTACTGTACACATGCACCAACTGCCTGCTTCAGGTTTGGATGGAGCTTCATGGTTGTCTTTTGGAGAAATGAGCAGTCAAGTTGTGTTTGAAATTTGATTTTTTTCAGGGGCAAAAGGAAGCCTCTGCATTCTTGTCAAATATGTAAATAGCATGTTTTTGCAGGTGCTAAAAAACAGACTCTGAGTGTGTGTGTGTGTGTGTGTGTGCGTGTGTGTGTCTGTGTGTGTGTGTGTGTGTATCCTGCAGTACTCTGAGAAGAATAATAAGCATATTTCTGAGGTGAATTTTGAAGATTCATCTGAGAGTTAGGTTTGATTCGATTCGATTGACGCTCCCCAGCGTTCAAGTCACATGACATATTTAACCGGATGTAGCTGCAAGACGGAGCCTCGTTAACTCTCCGTTTCAACTTATCTCAAAAGTGAGGACCTCAACCTATATACCAGTTTTTAAATTGTGTTGATTGGCCAAATAAAACCAGAGTTATGATAAATTATGTCCGCGATACTTTTTTTCTGCTTATTTTGATCACGTTCGGCGCTCGATCGCGCTGTATGAGACAGGAAAACATAGCATGCACACATTAGCGACAGGTCTTACAGGCGGAAAAGGCTTGCCAAAAGAAAAAAAAAACACACCACAACATCTCTCCTATTGGTGGAAAACTTCACCACAACAACCAATCCAAAATTATATGGTGACTGATTGACAAGGGGCGGGCGCTTACGTTCTTCCTGCAATATGAGAAGGGAGGGAGGGACTCTCAGCAGGGATGCAGTCTGGGACACGTAGTTGCAAACCTAGCGACTGTGTTGTTAGATTCAATTACTTTTCAGACCCCCTAACGACTTTTTTTAGAAAGAAAGGGACTTTTATCGACTTCTTCTGGAGTTTAGAGACTCTGACATGAAGCAGGCTTTCCTTACTGAGGAGTTAGCAACGCTGCTAAGGGTGCAGAGCCACACATGCGCTCCGAGCTCTGCATGGGAGACTGAAGCTGACAGAGCTGCAGCAGTTAGCAGGTTTCACCCTCAGAGACCACCAGGGGTTCATGTTGAGGCATTTTCAGTTTTTGTTTTTTTTGCCATAGACTGTCAGCACAATCTGCAGTTACACTAACAAAAATGCTGCAAAAAACAAAGAATTATGGAAAAATTACACATGGACTGACATAGAGGAGGATCTACACAAGTTTTTTACATCATGTTTTACATCATGCATCATTTACATCATTCATCATTTTTTGTAGTGGCATAAATAAAAAGTGACATTTGTGAGACTATACAGTGTTTTGTAAATAATTTTACAAAGAACGCCTGGGCCATTGCCGCCATTTTGATGTAAATAGAGGTAAATTACTATGTTCTTTGTTAAAAATTTGCATATGTTTTGAAGTTTACAATTTTTATTTGAAGTTTAAGTTTTAAAAACAGTTCATCACACATATTTGTGGTTTAATTTCACATTAATTTCCATATTGTATAAATGACTGGAAAAAACTTGAGCCCCTGCCCCTGTATTATCATGTGCACGTCCCTGTTCTAGCTCCAAGGTGAATCTTCACTGCTCATTTTCTCCTCAGAAATAGTCACCTCACTCCCCTCAGGTTACTGTACACATGCACCAACTATCTGCTTCAGGTTTGGATGGAGCTTCATGGTTGTCTTTTGGAGAAATGAACAGTCAAGTTGTGTTTGAAATATGATTTTTTTCAGCGGCAAAAGGAAGCCTCTGCATTCTTGTCAAATATGTAAACAGCATGTTTTTGCAGGTGCTAAAAAACAGACTCTGAGTGTGTGTGTGTGTGTGTGTGTGTGTGTGTGTGTGTGTGTGTGTGTGTATATGTGTGTGTATCCTGCAGTACTCTGTACTCCTGCAGTGGCCAAAAAGACTTTTAAGAATGTGGATTTTTGGGTCATCTTTGGCGCCCCCTAGAACTGCAGTACTCTGTACTCCTGCAGTGGCCAAAATGACTTTTAAGAATGTGGATTTTTGGGTCATCTTTGGTGCCCCCTAGAACGTAAACCGTGGGGTGCAGCGTCATGATTTTTACAACTTTGAATGGGCATGGGGTGTAGATTGCCCTGAGCAAATTTGGTATCGGTGGGACGAAAGCCTTAGGAGGAGATAGCCACATTCCAATGTGTGCGAATCGGCAAAAAATGCGAAATAGCCCTTTAACCGTACATTATACAGATACGCGCTTTTTGACTTTTTCGTAGATCTAATTGAGATACACGTGATTGTCAATTTTTGTGTCAATATGACAAAGCGTTCAGGCATGACACTCAACAATGTGTATTTTCATGTAAGGGGACAAGAAAAAATTGACTTTTTTCTCCTGCCATGGGGGGGCGCTCTTTTGGGGAGTAAAAATTCCTTCACAAATGTGTTGATGGCTGGACATTGCATCATCCTAGAAAACTTGGAGGGCAGTGAGGACAAAAATAAAAAGTTATAAGACTTTTAAGAATGTGGATTTTGGGTTATCTTTGGCGCCCCCTAGAACGTAAACCGTGGGGTGCAGCGTCATGATTTGTACAACTTTTAATGGCCATGGGGGGTAGATTGGCCTGCGCAAATGTGGTGCCGGTCGAACGAAAGCCTTCAGAGGAGTTAGCGAAATTCCAATGTGTGCAGATCTGCAAAAAATGCAAAATAACCCATTAACCGTACATTTGACAGATACGCCCGCACTGACTTTTTTGTAGATCTTATTGAGATACATGTGTGTGTCAATTTTTGTGTCAATATGACAAAGCGTACAGCCGTCATGTGAATTTTCACCTTAGGGGGCGCTATGGAGCCATTTTGCATTTTATTGTTTGGGCGACTTCAGAATATCGAATTTTTCACCAGGCCCGGTCGTCCTGCCAAATTTCCTGAGTTTTCGCCAGTGGGAAGTGGGCCATTTTCCAGTTTAAAGCGGAGGAAAAATAATAACGAAAGAAGGAAACATGCAGGAACAAGAGGGCTCTCGCAGCTGCTTAGCAGCTACGCTCGGGCCCTAAAAAGAAGAAAGAAAAACCCATTGAAAAACAACAGTGCTCTCGCAGCTGCTTAGCAGCTACGCTCGGGCCCTAACTAGGGCCCCGTTGGGGCACTGGCGGGCCCGAGCCGTGTCGCGCCGCCCCCAGCGCGACCACCTCCCACTCCTGATCGCGTCATACTCAAGGTCCAAAGATGGTGTGCGCACTTGTCTGTGGTCATTTACCATTATAATGAATAGGAGGTGCAGTTTCTATCAAAACGCTCGCTGCAGACAAATTACATGTCCTATTTGAAAAAAGTCTGGACCATGAGTGAGGGCAGAAACACAGCTAGGATATATCCAAATGGCAAGTTTCTCCTCCTTTCAGTTTTGCCGAGAGAGCGATGCGTTTGAGCCATTGAGCGATGGGCAGGAAAAACTTGACTTTTTCTCCTGCCATTGGCGGGCGCCCTTTTGGGGAGTAAAAATTTCTTCACAAATGTGTTGATGGCTGGACATTGTATCGTCCTAGAAAACTTGGAGGCCAGTAAGGACAAAAATAAAAAGTTATAAGACTTTTAAAAATGTGGATATTTGGGTCCTCTTTGGCGCCCCCTAGAACGTAGACCGTGGGGTGCAACGTCATGATTTTTACAACTTTGAATGGCCATGGGATGTAGATTGGCCTGAGCACATTTGGTGTCAGTGGGACGAAAGCCTTTGGAGGAGTTAGCCACATTCCAATGTGTGCGAATCGGCAAAAAATGCGAAATAGCCCTTCAACCGTACATTTTACAGATACGCACGCATTGACTTTTTCGTAGATCTTATTGAGATACACGTGATTGTCAAATTTTGTGTCAATATGACAAAGCGTACAGGTGTGACATTCAACAATGTGTATTTTCGCCTTAGGGGACAAGAAAAAATGGACTTTTTTCTCCTGACATGGGGGGGCGCTCTTTTGGCGAGCAAAAATTCCTTCACAAATGTGTTGATGGCTGGACATTGCATCATCCTAGAGAACTTGGAGGCCAGTGAGGACAAAAATAAAAAGTTATAAGACTTTTAAGACTGTGGATTTTGGGGTTATCTTTGGCGCCCCCTAGAACCTAAACCGTGGGGTGCAGCGTCATGATTTGTACAACTTTTAATGGCCATGGGGTGTAGATTGGCCTGAGCAAATGTGGTGCCGGTGGAACGAAAGCCTTCGGAGGAGTTAGCGAAATTCCAATGTGTGCAGATCGGCAAAAAATGCGAAATAACCCTTTAACCGTACATTTGACAGATACCCCCGCACAGACTTTTTTGTAGATCTTATTGAGATACATGTGTGTGTCAAATTTTGTGTCAATATGACAAAGCGTACAGGCGTGACAGTCAATGGTGTGAATTTTCACCTTTGGGGGCGCTATGGAGCCATTTTGCATTTTATTGTTTGGGCGACTTCAGAATATCCAATTTTTCACCAGGCCCGGTCGTCCTGCCAAATTTCATGAGTTTTCGCCAGTGGGAAGTGGGCCATTTTCCAGTTCAAAGGGGAGGAAAAAGAAAAAAGAAACAAAGAAAAACCACTACAGGAATAATAGGGCCTCGCAGCTGCTTAGCAGCTACGCTCGGGCCCTAACTAGGGCCCAGTTGGGGCACTGGCGGGCCCGAGCTGTGTCGCGCCGCCCCCAACACGACCGCCTCTCCCTCCCGATCGCGTCACACTCAAGGTCCAAAGATGGTGTGCGCACTTGTCTGTGGTCATTTACCATTATAATGAATGGGAGGCGCAGTTTCTACCAAAACGCTCGCTGCAGACAAACTCCATGTCCTATTTGAAAAAAGTCTGGACCATGAGTGAGGGCACAAACACAGCTAGGATATATCCAAATGGCAAGTTTCTCCTCCTTTCGGTTTTGCCGAGAGAGCAATGTGTTTGAGCCATTAAGCGATGGGCAGGAAAAACTTGACTTTTTCTCCTGCCATGGGGGGGCACTCTTTTAGGGAGTAAAAATTCCTTCACAAATGTGTTGATGGCTAGACATTGCATCATCCTAGAAAACTTGGAAGCCAGTGAGGACAAAAAAAAAAAGTTATAAGACTTTTAAGAATGTGGATTTTTGGGTTATCTTTGGCGCCCCCTAGAGCGTAAACCGTGGGGTGCAGCGTCATGATTTGTACAACTTTGAATGGCCATGGGGTGTAGATTGGCCTGAGCAAATTTGGTGCCGGTGGAACGAAAGCCTTAGGAGGAGTTAGCCACATTCCAATGTGTGCGAATCGGCAAAAAATGCAAAATAGCCCTTTAAGCGTACATTTTACAGATACGCGCGCATTGACTTTTTCGTAGATCTTATTGAGATACACGTGATTGTCAAATTTTGTGTCAATATGACAAAGCGTACAGGTGTCACACTCAACAATGTGAATTTTCACCTTAGGGGACAAGAAAAAATTGACTTTTTTCTCCTGCCATGGGGGGGGGGCGCTCTTTTGGGGAGTAAAAATTCCTTCACAAATGTGTTGATGGCTGGACATTGCATCATCCTAGAAAACTTGGAGGCCAGTGAGGACAAAAATAAAAAGTTATAAGACTTTTAAGACTGTGGATTTTAGGGTTATCTTTGGCGCCCCCTAGAGCCTAAACCGTGGGGTGCAGCGTCATGATTTGAATAACTTTTAATGGCTAGGGGGAGTAGATTGGCCTGAGCAAATGTGGTGCCGGTGGAACGAAAGCCTTCGGAGGAGTTAGCGAAATTCCAATGTGTGCGGATCGGCAAAAAATGTGGAATAACCCTTTAACCGTACATTTGACAGATACGCGCACGTTGACTTTTTCGTAGATCTTATTGAGATACATGTGTGTGTCAATTTTTGTGTCAATATGACAAAGCGTACAGGCGTGACAGTCAATAGTGTGTATTTTCACCTTAGGGGACAAGAAAAAATGGACTTTTTTCTCCTGCCATGGGGGGGGCGCTCTTTTGGGGAGTAAAAATTCCTTCACAAATGTGTTGATGGCTGGACATTGCATCATCCTAGAAAACTTGGAGGCCAGTGAGGGCAAAAATAAAAAGTTATAAGACTTTTAAGACTGTGGATTTTGGGGTTATCTTTGGCGCCCCCTAGAACCTAAACTGTGGGGTGCAGCGTCATGATTTGAATAACTTTTAATGGCCATGGGGTGTAGATTGGCCTGAGCAAATGTGGTGCCGGTGGAACGAAAGCCTTCGGAGGAGTTAGCGAAATTCTGATGTGTGTGGATCGGCAAAAAATGCGAAATAACCCTTTAACCGTACATTTGACAGATACGCCCGCACTGACTTTTTTGTAGATCTTATTGAGATACATGTGTGTGTCAATTTTTGTGTCAATATGACAAAGCGTACAGGCGTGACAGTCAATACAGTGAATTTTCACCTTAGGGGGCGCTATGGAGCCGTTTTGCATGTTATTGTTTGGGCGACTACAGAATATCGAATTTTTCACCAGGCCCAGTCGTCCTGCCAAATTTCATGAGTTTTCGCCAGTGGGAAGTGGGCCATTTTCCAGTTCAAAGGGGAGGAAAAAGAAGAAGAAAGAAAGAAGAAAGAAAAACCCATACAGGAACAATAGGGCTCTCGCAGCTGCTTAGCAGCTACGCTCGGGCCCTAAAGAAAGAAAGAAGAAAGAAAAACCCATACAGGAACAATAGGGCTCTCGCAGCTGCTTAGCAGCTACGCTCGGGCCCTAATAATTATAACGAAAGAAGAATCCATCAGGAACAAAAGGGCTCTCGCAGCTGCTTAGCAGCTACGCTCGGGCCCTAAAGAAAGAAAGAAACAAAGAAAAACCACTAGAGGAACAATAGGGCTCTCGCAGCTGCTTAGCAGCTACGCTCGGGCCCTAAAAAACAAAAGTAGAAATGTGAACATAGGACAATTTCCTTAGGGAAAACTGGAAATGCAGTGCTGTAGGAATTACAGTACAGTCTTCCTACACCTCCTGATGTTCCTGTCTGTTGGGCCACAAATTCTTATCCACAAAATGTCACTCATCCAAAATGTCAGTGTATATAGTATACTTACTGTATACTGTAAAATGAAAGTCGAATACTGCAATATTGTATGAAGCATCACAGAAAGTATACAGTATTACAGTACAGTGCCTATTGTTAGAATACATACCTGTTCTGTCAACAAAAAGTCTGAATGATTGAGGACAGAGTTGTTCTCCCAACATTTGGCTGCACCCTTCGGCCAGCCTCAGCCATTGTAAGCCCATGATTGAGAACGTGGTCTACAAGTGTAGCTCTTATCTCATCAGGAACGCGCATATGTCCTCTGCCTCTTCTGCCTCTTCCTCTGTTTTGCCTCCCAACTCCTCTGCCACGCAGCCTCACTCCTCTTCCTCTTCTTCTCTCTGGCTGTTGACCCCATCCAATTCCTTGTCCTTCCATTGTCAGACATTGTAACATTGTGTTGTGCTCCGGCAATATATATACTTGCCAGTTGATGGTTCATGAGACGCACCTTTGAGCTATTTCAGAAAAGTGGTTGATCATTGGTTGATCTAATGCTTCACCACATTTCCCACTGCTAGAGAAAGTCAAGATTCACCTGGGAGCAATTTACCAATTCAGGACAGATTCAGAAACGTCTAATGGAAATGTATAGAAATATGCTTGACATATTATGACAGCTTGTTCAACCATTTTGCATGTAAAGACTTATGCAATGAACTAATGCCTAAATGTTGAGGGCGGTGAGACTATTCAACAGAGACCCATTATAATACATTTTGATCAACATGACATAAGCAATTGATAATGTAGAAAACAGCAGAAAATTGTACATAATCATTTGCATGGATGTACCAAAGCATTTGCAAGTTGTTCAAAGAAATGAGAAACTGCTTTTTTGATGTGCACAAGTGGCACAATGATGTGAAGACTGAACACATAGTTTTGAGAATTTCAATTCTGATCTGAGAAATGTACCAAAGCAACTGAGAAAAACTGTAAGAGCTTTGTGGTGCGGTTCCCTCTGTGGCGCCAGATATCAGCCTTGAAGGTCTGCAATACTCGTTCTAGATGCTGTGTGTGACAGGATCCACAAAATTTCTCCAGTGGCACACTGTGTAATGGCTAATACCCATGTTGAGTCAGAGCCCTGCGATATGCTCGCCATTCATCTGACACAATGCTTGTGCCTCTTCTAACATGCCGCAGTATGGTAGGCAAAAGGTCTCGCCTTGAACGCCCTCTCACAATCTTCAGGATTGGCCTTCTGGTCGTCAGTCCACTCTCCAACATGCCAAACACCCATTTTTTGGCTCGACGCCAGGCTGGCCCAACTCTTTCACGTTTACTGCAAAAAATGTTTTCAATAAATAATTACTGAACCTGCAAATGAGCAGTAGCCCAATGTATCTTGTGAAAAGATACATTGGTTTACTTTTTTGTTTTGTATAGCCTTAACGTAAATTTATTTCTTTCCTCTGTTTAAAGCTTCAGGAAGGAATTAACAATTATTTATTCATATTAGTTATTCATCTAACTCTCACTATATTCTGAGAGTAGGACATAAAATGGGTAATTTAGGACAAAGTCCAAATCCTCTGGCTCCGCCTACAGCCTGTAATTGTACTTGCCAAAATCCACTGCGACGGATGAATCTCCACAAGTTAAGTAGAGGGGGCAGGAAGAGCAGCCAATTAGTAAGTTGACAAAAGTGAAAGTAAAGTCCGTGACTTGGTCAGGAATTTCAAGACAATACACCTTCAGGTTCCTCTTTTAACCTCTGTCAACCCCATACCTGCCAACATTTGGGTTACTAAATCCAGGAGATTTTTGCAGCACATGCCAGGCAGTTTTGGGGTTACTTTGTATAGTAGATATGAGCTAATTATGAGAGTATTTGTACTTAGATTGCTCATCCAAATAAGAATAATTAGTATTATAACGATTATTTAGTTTTGATTATCTGCCAAATCCCGATCCGAGTCTTGGGTTTAATAAACCTAGCTTGAGGGAAGAAAGTGAAGCTGCATACCTTTTTTGTTTTGTTTTGTTTTAACAATAACTAATGGTAAAAAAAAAAAAAACAATAGCTACGATATGCCTTGGACTTATTTAGTCCACTAATTTTGGTGTTAAAGTCCTCATATGTTTTACATGCTCTCCTGCATGAGGTTCTCTGAACATCTGTGCGAGCAATACAGCACTGTTTTATCTGAGGCTACCCTGAACGCATCACTCATGTGGTGAGACGCCTCCTCATTAGGGCCCGAGCGTAGCTGCTAAGCAGCTGCGAGAGCCCTATTATTCCCCAAGTGGTTTTTCTTTGTTTCTTTAGGGCCCGAGCCAGCTGCAGAGCAGCCGGGCGTAGGCCCTATTATTCCCCAAGTGGTTTTTCTTTGTTTCTTTCTTTCTTTCTTTAGGGCCCGAGCGTAGCTGCTAAGCAGCTGCGAGAGCCCTCTTGTTCCTGCATGTTTCCTTCTTTTGTTATTAGGGCCCGAGCCAGCTGCAGAGCAGCCGGGCGTAGGCCCTATTATTCCCCAAGTGGTTTTTCTTTGTTTCTTTCTTTCTTTTTTCTTTTTCCTCCCCTTTGAACTGGAAAATGGCCCACTTCCCACTGGCGAAAACTCATGAAATTTGGCAGGACGACCGGGCCTGGTGAAAAATTCGATATTCTGAAGTCGCCCAAACAATAAAATGCAAAATGGCTCCATAGCGCCCCCTAAGGTGGAAATTCACACTATTGACTGTCACGCCTGTACGCTTTGTCATATTGACACAAAAATTGACACACATATGTATCTCAATAAGATCTACAAAAAAGTCAGTGCGGCCGTATCTGTCAAAATTACGGTTAAAGGGTTATTTCGCATTTTTTGCCGATCTGCACACATTGGAATTTCGCTAACTCCTCCGAAGGCTTTCGTTCCACCGGCACCACATTTGCTCAGGCCAATCTACACCCCGTGGCCATTAAAAGTTATCAAAATCATGACGCTGCACCCCAAGGTTTAGGTTCTAGGGGGCGCCAAAGATAACACTAAAATCCACATATTTAAAAGTCTTATAACTTTTTATTTTTGTCCTCACTGGCCTCCAAGTTTTCTAGGATGATGCAATGTCCAGCCATCAACACATTTGTGAAGGAATTTTTACTCCCCAAAAGAGCGCCCCCCCATGGCAGGAGAAAAAAGTCCATTTTTTCTTGTCCCCTAAGGTGAAAATACACATTGTTGAGTGTCACGCCTATACGCTTTGTCAAAATGACACAAAAATTGACACACACATGTAACTCAATAAGATCTACGAAAAAGTCAATGCGCGCGTATCTGTCAAATGTACGGTTAAAGGGTTATTTCGCATTTTTTGCCGATCCGCACACATTGGAATTTCGCTAACTCCTCCGAAGGCTTTCGTTCCACCGGCACCACATTTGCTCAGGCCAATCTACACCCCGTGGCCATTAAAAGTTATCAAAATCATGACGCTGCACCCCACGGTTTAGGTTCTAGGGGGCGCCAAAGATAACCCTAAAATCCACATATTTAAAAGTCTTATAACTTTTTATTTTTGTCCTCACTGGCCTCCAAGTTTTCTAGGATGATGCAATGTCCAGCCATCAACACATTTGTGAAGGAATTTTTACTCCCCAAAAGAGCGCCCCCCATGGCAGGAGAAAAAAGTCCATTTTTTCTTGTCCCCTAAGGTGAAAATACATATTGTTGAGATTCACGCCTATACGCTTTGTCATATTGACACAAAATTTGACAATCACATGTATCTCAATCAGATCTACGAAAAAGTCTATGCGCGCGTATCTGTAAAATGTACGGTTAAAGGGCTATTTTGCATTTTTTGCCGATTCGCACACATTGGAATGTGGCTAACTCCTCCTAAGGCTTTCGTCCCACTGACACCAAATTTGCTCAGGCCAATCTACACCCCATGGCCATTCAAAGTTGTAAAAATCATGACGCTGCACCCCACGGTTTACGTTCTAGGGGGCGCCAAAGATGACCCAAATATCCACATTCTTAAAAGAATCCACATCCCCCCCATCCCCCATCCCCCATGGCAGGAGAAACAGTCAAGTTTTTCCTGCCCATCACTCAATGGCTCATTCGCATCACTCTCCCGGCAACACCGTAACGAGGAGCAACTTGCCGTTTGGATATATCCTAGCTGTGTTTGTGCCCTCACTCATGGTCCAGACTTTTTTCAAATAGGACATGTAGTTTGTCTGCAGCGAGTGTTTTGGTAGAAACTGCGCCTCCCATTCATTATAATGGGAAATGACCACAGACAAGTGCGCACACCATCTTTGGACCTTGAGTGTGACGCGATCGGGAGGGGTAGGCGGTCGCGCTGGGGGCGGCGCAACGCGGCTCGGGCCCGACAGTGCCCCACCGGGGTCCTAGTTAGGGCCCGAGCGTAGCTGCTAAGCAGCTGCGAGAGCCCTATTATTCCCCAAGGGGTTTTTCTTTGTTTCTTTTTTCTTTTTCCTCCCCTTTGAACTGGAAAATGGCCCACTTCCCACTGGCGAAAACTCATGAAATTTGGCAGGACGACCGGGCCTGGTGAAAAATTTGATATTCCGAAGTCGCCCAAACAAGAAAATGCAAAATGGCTCCATAGCGCCCCCTAAGGTGAAAATTCACACTATTGAGTGTCACGCCTGTACGCTTTGTCAAAATGACACAAAATTTGACACACACATGTATCTCAATAAGATCTACAAAAAAGTCAGTGCGGGCGTATCTGTCAAATGTACGGTTAAAGGGTTATTTCGCATTTTTTGCCGATCCGCACACATTGGAATTTCGCTAACTCCTTTGAAGGCTTTCGTTCCACCGGCACCACATTTGCTCAGGCCAATCTACACCCCATGGCCATTAAAAGTTATTCAAATCATGACGCTGCACCCCACGGTTTAGGTTCTAGGGGGCGCCAAAGATAACCCTAAAATCCACATATTTAAAAGTCTTATAACTTTTTATTTTTGCCCTCACTGGCCTCCAAGTTTTCTAGGATGATGCAATGTCCAGCCATCAACACATTTGTGAAGGAATTTTTACTCCCCAAAAGAGCGCCCCCCCATGGCAGGAGAAAAAAGTCCATTTTTTCTTGTCCCCTAAGGTGAAAATACACATTGTTGAGTGTCACGCCTGTACGCTTTGTCAAAATGACACAAAAATTGACACACACATGTATCTCAATAAGATCTACAAAAAAGTCCATGCGCGCGTATCTGTCAAATGTACGGTTAAAGGGTTATTCCGCATTTTTTGCCGATTCGCACACATTGGAATTTCGCTAACTCCTCCGAAGGCTTTCGTTCCACCGGCACCACATTTGCTCAGGCCAATCTACACCCCATGGCCATTAAAAGTTATTCAAATCATGACGCTGCACCCCACGGTTTACGTTCTAGGGGGCGCCAAAGATAACCCAAAAATCCACATTTTTAAAAGTCTTATAACTTTTTATTTTTGTCCTCACTGGCCTCCAAGTTTTCTAGGATGATGCAATGTCCAGCCATCAACACATTTGTGAAGGAATTTTTACTCCCTAAAAGAGCGCCCCCCCATGGCAGGAGAAAAAAGTCCATTTTTTCTTGTCCCCTAAGGTGAAAATACACATTGTTGACTGTCACGCCTGTACGCTTTGGCAAAATGACACAAAAATTGACAATCATGTGTATCTCAATTAGATCTACGAAAAAGTCAAAGAGCGCGTATCTGTATAATGTACGGTAAAAGGGCTATTTTGCATTTTTTGCCGATTCGCACACATTGGAATTTCGCTAACTCCTCCTAAGGCTTTCGTCCCACTGACACCAAATTTGCTCAGGCCAATCTACACTCCATGGCCATTCAAAGTTGTAAAAATCATGACGCTGCACCCCACGGTTTACGTTTTAGGGGGCGCCAAAGATGACCCAAATATACATTACAGTAGACAAAGTAGTTTTGCCCACTGAGTGGCGCCAAAGGGACTTGTCTGTGGAGTCTGTGAGTCACTATTGGCCGTTTTTGACTACTTTAGATTTTACCTTTATATTTCCTCTTACAAAATTTTTACCTTGCCTTGCCTGGTATCATTTTTTTCAGCACAACCTCACCTGTGTCAATTTACAGTTATTTTATCATTTTGACATACTATATTTACACATTGGACCCAAATTCACACACAAAACATAAAATCCGAGTGGAAAAAAGTAACGTTTTTACTGTGAAAACCACAAATATGTGTGATGAACTGTTTTTAAAACTTAAACTTCAAATAAAAATTGTAAACTTCAAAACATATGCAAATTTTTAACAAAGAACATAGTAATTTACCTCTATTTACATCAAAATGCAGGCAATGGCCCAGGTGTTCTTTGTAAAATTATTTACAAAACACTGTATAGTCTCACAAATGTCACTTTTTATTTATGCCACTACAAAAAAACATGATGTAAATGATGCATGATGTAAAACATGATGTAAAAAACTTGTGTAGATCCTCCTCTATGTTAGTCCATGTGTAATTTTTCCATAATTCTTTGTTTTTTGCAGCATTTTTGTTAGTGTAACTGCAGATTGTGCTGACAGTGTCTATGGCAAAAAAAAAAAAAAACTGAAAATGCCTCAACATGAACCCCTGGTGGTCTCTGAGGGTGAAACCTGCTAACTGCTGCAGCTCTGTCAGCTTCAGTCTCCCATGCAGAGCTCGGAGCGCATGTGTGGCTCTGCACCCTTAGCAGCGTTGCTAACTCCTCAGTAAGGAAAGCCTGCTTCATGTCAGAGTCTCTAAACTCCAGAAGAAGTCGATAAAAGTCACTTTCTTTCTAAAAAAAAAGTCGTTAGGGGGTCTGAAAAGTCATTGAATCTAACAACAAAGTCGCTAGGTTTGGAACTACGTGTCCCAGACTGCATCCCTGCTGAGAGTCCCTCCCTCCCTTCTCATATTGCAGGAAGAACGTAAGCGCCCGCCCCTTGTCAATCAGTCACCATATAATTTTGGATTGGTTGTTGTGGTGAAGTTTTCCACCAATAGGAGAGATGTTGTGGTGTGTTTTTTTTTTCCTTTGGCAAGCCTTTTCCGCCTGTAAGACCTGTCGCTAATGTCTGCATGCTATGTTTTCCTGTCTCATACAGCGCGATCGAGCGCCGAACGTGATCAAAATAAGCAGAAAACAAGTATCGCGGACATAATTTATCATAACTCTGGTTTTATTTGGCCTATCAACACAATTTAAAAACTGGTATATAGGTTGAGGTCCTCATTTTTGAGATAAGTTGAAACGGAGTCAACGAGGCTCCGTCTTGCAGCTACATCCGGTTAAATATGTCATGTGACTTGAACGCACACACACACACACACACACACACACACACAGACACACACACGCACGCACACACACACACTCAGAGTCTGGTTTTTAGCACCTGCAAAAACATGCTATTTACATATTTGACAAGAATGCAGAGGCTCCTTTTGCCCCTGAAAAAAATCAAATTTCAAACACAACTTGACTGGTCATTTCTCCAAAAGACAACCATGAAGCTCCATCCAAACCTGAAGCAGGCAGTTGGTGCATGTGTACAGTAACCTGAGGGGAGTGAGGTGACTGCTTCTGAGGAGAACATGAGCAGTGAAGATTCACCTTAGAGCTAGAACAGAGACGTGCACATGATTATACAGGGGCAGGGGCTCAAGTTTTTTCCAGTTGTTTATACAATATGGAAATTAATGTGAAATTAAAAAACAAAGTATTAATAGAAAGGTAATGACTGTCCTGAGTAGGTGACAGTGATATCCAATAGGCTAGGCACTCAAGAGGCTGGCTGTGGCAAGTGTAAGTGAAAGCAACACGCACTGGCAGGAAGAACAGCAAACGCCGATGAAGGAAAAGGGTCTTTGCAGTGATGGGCGTTACCAGAGAGGGCGATGGCCAGAGGACACAAATGGGACGGGGAGGCAGCGCGTTGGGGGGGGGACGCGACACAGCTCGGGCCCGCCAGTGCCCCAACGGGGTCCTAGTTCTTTCTTTCTTTCTTCTTTTTCCTCCCCTTTGAACTGGAAAATGGCCCACTTCCCACTGGCGAAAACTCATGAAATTTGGCAGGACGACCGAGCCTGGTGAAAAATTCGATATTCTGAAGTCGCCCAAACAATAAAATGCAAAATGGCTCCATAGCGCCCCCTAAGGTGGAAATTCACACTATTGACTGTCACGCCTGTACGCTTTGTCACATTGACACAAAAATTGACACACATATGTATCTCAATAAGATCTACAAAAAAGTCAGTGCGGCCGTATCTGTCAAAATTACGGTTAAAGGGTTATTTCGCATTTTTTGCCGATCCGCACACATTGGAATTTCGCTAACTCCTCCGAAGGCTTTCGTTCCACCGGCACCACATTTGCTCAGGCCAATCTACACCCCGTGGCCATTAAAAGTTATCAAAATCATGACGCTGCACCGCAAGGTTTAGGTTCTAGGGGGCGCCAAAGATAACACTAAAATCCACATATTTAAAAGTCTTATAACTTTTTATTTTTGTCCTCACTGGCCTCCAAGTTTTCTAGGATGATGCAATGTCCAGCCATCAACACATTTGTGAAGGAATTTTTACTCCCCAAAAGAGCGCCCCCCATGGCAGGAGAAAAAAGTCCATTTTTTCTTGTCCCCTAAGGTGAAAATACACATTGTTGAGTGTCACGCCTATACGCTTTGTCAAAATGACACAAAAATTGACACACACATGTAACTCAATAAGATCTACAAAAAAGTCCATGCGCGCGTATCTGTCAAATGTACAGTTAAAGGGTTATTCCGCATTTTTTGCCGATACGCACACATTGGAATTTCGCTAACTCCTCCGAAGGCTTTCGTTCCACCGGCACCACATTTGCTCAGGCCAATCTACACCCCATGGCCATTAAAAGTTATTCAAATCATGATGCTGCACCCCATGGTTTAGGTTCTAGGGGGCGCCAAAAATAACCCAAAAATCCACATTCTTAAATGTTTTATAACTTTTTATTTTTGTCCTCACTGGCCTCCAAGTTTTCTAGGATGATGCAATGTCCAGCCATCAACACATTTGTGAAGGAATTTTTACTCCCCAAAAGAGCGCCCCCCCATGGTAGGAGAAAAAAGTCAATTTTTTCTTGTCCCCTTACATAAAAATACACATTGTTGAGTGTCACGCCTGAACGCTTTGTCATATTGACACAAAAATTGACAATCATGTGTATCTCAATTAGATCTACGAAAAAGTCAAAGAGCGCGTATCTGTATAATGTACGGTTAAAGGGCTATTTTGCATTTTTTGCCGATTCGCACACATTGGAATGTGGCTATCTCCTCCTAAGGCTTTCGTCCCACCGATACCAAATTTGCTCAGGGCAATCTACACCCCATGCCCATTCAAAGTTGTAAAAATCATGACGCTACACCCCACGGTTTACGTTCTAGGGGGCGCCAAAGATGACCCAAAAATCCACATTCTTAAAAGTCATTTTGGCCACTGCAGGAGTACAGAGTACTGCAGTTCTAGGGGGCGCCAAAGATGACCCAAAAATCCACATTCTTAAAAGTCTTTTTGGCCACTGCAGGAGTACAGAGTACTGCAGGATACACACACATGTACACACACGCCAACATACACACACACTCACACACACACACACACACACACACACACACACACACACACACACACACAGACACACACACACTCAGAGTCTGTTTTTTAGCACCTGCAAAAACATGCTGTTTACATATTTGACAAGAATGCAGAGGCTTCCTTTTGCCCCTGAAAAAAATCAAATTTCAAACACAACTTGACTGGTCATTTCTCCAAAAGACAACCATGAAGCTCCATTTCAAACCTGAAGCAGATAGTTGGTGCATGTGTACAGTAACCTGAGGGGAGTGAGGTGACTATTTCTGAGGAGAACATGAGCAGTGAAGATTCACCTTGGAGCTAGAACAGGGACGTGCACATGATTATACAGGGGCAGGGGCTCAAGTTTTTTCCAGTCATTTATACAATATGG